AGGGGCAATGTGTTGCCCTGGTTCACTTCCTTCCTCTGTGGCCGTTCCCAGTCAGTGTTGATAGGGAACGAGAGGTCCAGCCCTTGGCCCTTGCTTTGTGGGGTTCTGCAGGGTTCGGTACTTTCTCCTCTCCTGTTTAACATCGACATGAAACCGCTGGGTAAGATCATCCATCACCATGGGGTGAGAGATCATCAGTATGCTGATGATACTCAGCTGTATATCTCATCCCATGGTGAGTTAAGCGATGTCATGACCTCCCTCTCCCAGTGCCTGGGGGCTGTTAAGGTCTGGATGGGGAGCAATGGGTTGAAACTGAACCCTGGCAAGACGGAATGGCTCTGGGTTTGGGGTTCTTTAGCCCATGGAGAATTACCATCTTTAGTCTTGGATGGCATTGCACTGCCCCAGACGGACCCAGTTCATAATCTGGGGATTCTCCTGGACTTGCGACTCCTGCTCAAGGAGCAGGTGGCAGTCATGGCCAGGAGGGCCTTTGCGCAACTGCAGGTTGTGCACCAGTTATGCCCTTTCCTGGACCAACAGGCCTTGCTCACAGTCACCCACACCCTAGTCACCTCCCGCCTTGAATACTATAATGCGCTCTACATGGGTCTGCCCTTGAAAAGTATTCAGAAGCTTCAGTTGGTTCAGAATGCAGCAGCCCGCACAATTTTGTGCAAACCTAGATTTGCACACATGTCACCTCTCTTGCGGGAGCTGCATTGGCTGCCGATTTGCTTCTGAATCCAATTCAGTGTGCTGGTTATCACCTTTAAAGCCCTACATGGCTTAGGGCCAGGTAATTTGAAGGACTGCCTTTTCCCAGTTTCATCTGCCCGACCCACCAGAGCGGGGAGGCAGGGTATGTTACAGGTCCCCTCTATTAAGGAAGTCCATGGATTAACATACAATTCATATTAGTCATAGTAATACCAAAGTATTTCACATTTTTCTCAATCTTAAAACCAGTTTTTTCCATCAATTCCATTTATTTTGTGCAAACCTAGATTTGCACACATGTCACCTCGAGCGGGGAGGCAGGGTATGTTACAGGTCCCCTCTATTAAGGAAGTCCATCTAGTGGGACCAAGAAGAAGGGCCTTCTCCATGGTGGCTCCCTCCCTGTGGAACATCATCCCCACAGAGATAAGACTGGCCCCCACCTTGATGCTCTTCCACAAGGCCCTGAAGATATGGTTGTGCCAGCAGGCCTGGGGATCCCAGGTTGATACAGAGCCCATTAAGTGGTTTGTTTGAATGTAGTGTTGTCGCCAGGGGGATGGGAGGGGGGCAGAGTGGGTTCTGTATTGGGATTTTTATTTTTGTAACCCGCCCAGAGTTGCCACAAGTGAGTTGGGCAGCCATATAAATTGTTTAAATAAATAAATAAATTAGGAAGGGTCTCTTCTGAGCCTCTTGCCCCACCCACTCTCCAGCTGCTGGCTATGCTGTCTCTTATCTGACTGCTCCCTAGCTAGCATCTCCGGGCCACATCCCCCAAAGTCATTCCCATATACCATTACATAATATGAACATCGAAAAGCAAATGGAATTGATGGAAAAAACTGGTTTTAAGATTGAGAAAAATGTGAAATACTTTGGTATTACTATGACTAATATGAATTGTATGTTAATCCAGAATAATTGTGTTAAGACATATAATTAAATTAAGACGGACATGTTAAATTGGGAGAAATTACAATTGTCATTGTTGGGGAGAATTTCTGTGATAAAATGAATATCCTATTTTGCCAAGGATGATGTTTTTGTTTCAGACAATACCTATTCTGGCAACTGATCTACCATTTAAACAATGGCAGAAAGATACAGTGGTACCTCTATTTACGAACTTAATCCGTTCCGTGACTCTGATCGCAAGTTGAGTTGGTCGCAAGTTGAAGTAAATTTT